TTAACATCCTTAGCCTGCTCTCCTACGTGTAAACGTGTAATCACTAAAAATTCAGTGGTTACATGTTTATAAAAATAACGTTGTATTGTAATTGAAATCAATATATTTGATAATGTAGAAAAATGTTCAAAATATTATGTCATTTTCAAAAGGTATTTGATAGTTTAACAGTGTGATTAAAACTGTTATTAATTTTTGAGTTGATCACAAGTTAACTGCGATTAGTTGACTGCCTTACACTGAATGTAAATTTAAAAATATTTGATGTGACTGAGATGACTTGTTTTGTGTTTTGTTACCAACATTTAAGGCTCTGCTAACGTAAAAAGGTACTGAGTTTTTAAAAATATATATCTGTTCATTTATTTTACCCAGCACACACTTTATGAAAGGTGAAAGAAGAGCATCTTAGAAAGCAGATTTTGAACAGTTCATTATGTATAAATAGCTCCCTATTATTACACAGTAGAGCCAATGCATAGTGAATAGGGAAGAGGCAACTAACTAGGAAGGAGATTTTTCTGTTGAAGCACAAATACCATAGTAAGGAGCATTGATAGGAAATGGGATACCTCAAAAATACATGCCCATTAAATCATATTTGGACAAATATGAGCGTATTTTTTTCAGTTTGCCTTAATGTGTCAGTGGTCCTCTGACTTTAATAAAAATATTTTTGTGGCAGTAGGAGACAACAAAAGGAAAACTTTGCTATTAAACTGTTGCCCATTCAGATTAGGAATTGTAATAGGAGCAGCAAAGCCCAGAGTGTTCTTGTTCTGTTAGAGGAGGTATCCAGTGGCAGTGGACATTATCAGATAAATTGCCAAAATTGGCAAAGCTTTGTTTCCTTTATAACCATTTTTTCCCACATATACTTTCAAATTAGTGAGTTAGCTAGCACAGTATGTAGTTCTTTTAGGGGTGTAGTTGACAGCAGGCATGCAGAAATAACGAAATAAACTACTTCACACCTGAAAAATTAAAATCTCTGTTGCATGAAATCCACTGCATGTACTTTCTAATATTGGAAAAAGCTAAACTGTCCGAAGAATCTATTACTTGGGGTCACTCTCATGATCATTCTAATCTATTAGCTAGCACAGTATGTAGTTCTTTTAGGGGTGTAGTTGACAGCAGGCATGCAGAAATAACGAAATAAACTACTTCACACCTGAAAAATTAAAATCTCTGTTGCATGAAATCCACTGCATGTACTTTCTAATATTGGAAAAAGCTAAACTGTCCGAAGAATCTATTACTTGGGGTCACTCTCATGATCATTCTAATCTAGACTTCATTAAGTTTGGTATGTGGTCATGGGCTGGCTCCACCCCAGAAGAAGTGGAGCCTGGGGCAGAAGGGGCGAGGCTGGGGACTAGCCACTTCCAGTGCTTTTGGTTCCCTGCTGCTTCATTGTTCTTGAATCACGGTGCTGAAGAGCCTTTGTGAAAAGAACCTAATATTCATAAAGTTGTAGTTGCAGCAGTTAGAAGATCTAATTGTTGCAGGTTCACCTCATGTGGTTTTAGTTCTGCCCATGTTGCATTGATACAGTGATGATAGTGGAGAGGGAACTCATTTAAAATTCTACGTACAGTCTGTAGCAATACATGTAAGGAGAGAACTTTAGAGCTATGGTGAGACAATCATGTGGTTCATACTTTCAGTATAGTTGCATCCACTTCTCAGTATTCTGCCTATGAGCAGTTTCAGGGGGGGCCACATTGGGGGGCACTTTATTTTTAGAAATGTGAGCAGACAACATTTCATTGTTATAAAATTCATTGTGGAATTATTTCATGTTGCAAACATGCGTAATTAAAGACTATGAATGTAAACTAGGTGTCTTGGTGTATTTGCTGTTTACAGGATGACAGTAAAGTTTTTGTATCTCATGCCTCAGGTAAGTTATCTGTCTAATGGTTTTTATATTCATGTGGTGTACACTTAAACTACAATATGTAGTACTTTCTGCATATCAAGCTGTAGAGTATGAATTTAAAAGTAACTATTTTATGGTGGTAGATTTCCAACAATCACCTGTTAGCCCATGATTTACAAAATGTTGATGGTATGTTCTCAGCACACTGAGAACAGTGTTAATAGTATGTACACATGCACAAGAAAATCCAAGATAAGGGCCTCCTTTGTCTCTTTATATGCATTTAGGATATGGGAAATGAAGCTCCCATCAAAAGGTAAAATGTTGTACTGTGAGGACCAAATTAATTTCAAAATCTAACAGAGAACGTTCAGAGCAATTATTACATTATCCACACAGGGTACATCTAGACTACAGGGTTTTTTCGAAAAAACTTCCCCTGCGTCTAGACTGCTGCTGCATTCTTTCGAAAGTAAATCGAAAGAAAGCGGCATTTTTTTCGACCACGGAAAACCTCGTTTTACAAGGAACAATGCGTTTTCAAAAGTGCTCATTCTAAAATAGTCATTATGTGATGCAAACTGTGCTTTTTTCGAAAGAGAACATCTGGACTGTCTGGGTGCTTATTCGAAAAAGCGGCTTGCTTTTTCGAAAGTACTGGTGGTAGCCTAGACTCTCTCTTTTGAAAGAGGCTTTTATGAAAGTATGTTTCGAAAAAGCCTCTTTCGAAAGAGGCTCGCAGTCTAGACATAGCCACAGTTTTCCCCTCATACTGTACTAAATGTATTTTCCTAGCAGAAAAACTTTTTGTTCTTCGAACATTTCGATTTCCTCTGCCGTTAAATTGGATATTTGCAAATTAGACATAGTCACAGGCTCTGATTTAATAAATGGCGCTCCCATAGTGCCCTCCATACGAACATCTAACATTGTTTTGAAAACATTGGGCTGTATTTAACATTCCTACTTCCGCTGCTCCTCTCTCCAGAAACATTTCTCATTGACATCAGTAGTCCTTGCTGATGATACCACAAAAGTTTTGTGGGAATAGGGCCCAGTAGCCATTTACATTTCATGACGTCCTGTTAGAATAGGTAAGTAGTATCACAGACTTTTACAGAAGAAAAACCTGAAGTGGACTGTTGGAGAACCTGATTTTTCTAAGGCTTTGTGTACACTTAAAAGTTTAAAGTGCAGCTGTAGCAGCAATTTAAATTGAAAGTTTGACCACAGAACTCTATATAAACACCTCCATAAGGAAAGTAGCTAACAGCACTGGCTGCACAGCTCCTAGTGCTGTAGCATGGTCCACACTTGCACTTTACTTGGTGTAACTTGCTATGTTCGAGCCTGTGTAGACTTACCCAAAAAGTTAGAGGTGAAAGTAAACCTGTGTGCCCTGGTATGGTGCTCTGGCAAGAGGCTGGCTGGCTGGATCGCTTAGCTGCAGGAGGAGGAGCAGGGTGCTTTCAGCACAGCAGGCAGCCAGGCAGGTTAGATGGGCGGTTGGGGGCACCCCACACTCCTGGGGACTGCCCAAGTCCAAAGCTGCCACTCCCTTCCCTGGCTGCCATTTTGGGGGGTGGGGGAGCTTCAGCTCCACTTACTCGGTTGCTGTGTGCGAGTTTTTCCTATTTGCTGTGTGTTGTTTTTTTTCCTGTTTGCTATGACTAGGGAGCAAGGGGAAAGTGCAGAGCCTGCTGCATTCCTCTGCCCTCCCCCCCCCTTCCGCCCCAAGGCAGCTAGGAGCAAGACTTGCCCAAGATCACATGGAAAGTCTGAGGCAGACGCAGGAACTCATGACTCTTGATTCTTGACTCTTGATTCTTGCTGCAATGGGTGAACCACCAAATTAGCCTTCCTCCTCCCCTCACAAAACAACCAAGCAAAACAAACCTAACCCTGCATTGGATATCCTCACCCATTTTCTCATTTATGTATGTCTTTGGTTGCTTTTTAATAGAGAGATAAAATATTCAGTAAATTTACAAAAACAACTATGCCTTGTTAAATTAACAACCCATGGCAGGGTTCTGAACCCAAACATTGTGCTTGTGAATGAAAATCAGAATGTGCAATGGACCATGTAGCTCAGTTATGCAAATGCAGTGAAATAAAACTATATATTTTAAGCACAACTAAAACATTTTCATAAGACCTTGGCTTCTATTTGGGCACCTATATAAAACTGCCACATTTTCAAAGGTGTTCAGCCTCTGGCAGTTTCAATTACTCAAGATAAATTAGGAGAATCTTCAGTGGAATCACACTTATGTAAAATTAATATAAAATAAGTGACATTAAAATTAGGCCTGGGCTGTACAAAAGCATAATGTTGCATGACAGACCTGGACTATTAGTATTTGTACGGAGTAAGCTGAAGGGAAGGAAGGAAGGCAATTCACTGAAATACGTTATCCTGCATAAACATTCAAGCAACAGACAAAATTCAACTGATATTATTCCCGGCAGATGTGGTCTGCATGAGCACATGGTTTAAAAGCAGAGATGTGCTTGAACCAATGCATTGCATCTGAACACCCTTCTGTCTTTGGGAGTATTTAATATTAGGATCTGGTCTTGTGTCTTTCACTTCTTTCATATATTTGAGAACTCTTTTTTTTTTTTTTTTTTTTTTTTTAAATTCCAAGTCTGACGGATTGTGATTCGGTTAGGAGAATTAAGTTTTCCAGGAACTTACTATTAAAAAGTAAGGTTCCAGATATTTCATGTTGAATATGGATCTCCTCCTGTTGCTGAGTGGCATCTCAGTCTCTGGGAAGCTGGTAAATAGGTAAGGAAGCTTTCTGCATCATTTTATACTCTCGGCAGATCCATGCAGGATTATTGATTGTATCTTTTTGCAGCTTCGTCCAGGACTATTGATTTTTTTTTTTTTGTGAGGTGTCTGCTCACCTGCATTTAAAGCAGAAAACCACGTGTCTTAATTTAAGACCAGGGCAGGAGAGAGACAGACAGCAATGAAAGGATACAATTGTTGACTCCTAAATTATCTGTAACCATTAGAAATTGATGACAGCTAGTATAGCTAATGTGTATTTTTGATTAGCTTAAACATTTAATTGAAGTGCCCTTTTCTTTTCTTGGTTGACAGCTGCTTGCAGTGGAAAACTGGAACAGCACACAGAAAGACGTGGAGTCATCTATAGTCCTTCCTGGCCACTAAACTATCCTCCAGCCATAAACTGCAGCTGGTACATTCAAGGAGATCACGGAGATATGATAACAATTAGGTATGATTTGTAGTGTTCTGTTGATATAAGATTGCTCTCCTGAAATGAAGCATAAGGGTTTGTGTAATATGCTATTATGAAGTTGTGTCTAAAAGAACTGTAAAAATTATAAAGTTCTTTTGCTAAGAAAGTAGTGGTTGATGCTTGGTGAAATATAATTGCTGGTCAGGAAGATCCTTTCGTTTAAAAGATATTATGCAGTTTATTTAGGTGTCTGAGGTAGTGAGATGGTCCCTGTAGTATATGAGTGCTTCACAATTTTGTAATGTCCTTACCCTTACAAAGTTGTATGAAGCAAGAAAGCACTACTGTGATTCCTATTTGGAAGGTGGGGACCTGAGGCACAGGAAGACTAGTTTGGTCACATCAGCTGAACAATCATTTTGCTTTAATTGTAATGGGAATGAGAACACTACACTTGGATTTAGAATAGCATTTGAGTTTAAGATTGAACAAATGCTAGGACTCATGTCCGAAGATATCAAAATCTTGAGTTTTTCCTGTTTGAGTTGACAGAAATCTTCCGGATGTCAGTGAGATATGAGCCATTTGAGGAAAATTGTACAGCTCCCAGTTTTGGGTTATTGTAGAGGGATGGTTTAGATCTGGGGACTTAGCTACAAAACTATCTTCCAGCTGACATTCATAGTTGAGTGTTTGGGTTTCAGGTTGTTAATCAGACTCATGTCTGATCTAAAGCAGTTGTTAGTAGTCACATAAGGAAAAAAAAATCCACACATGGAAGATCTAAACATGGTATCCATGATTTTTCTGTTTACTCAGATGGCTAGTTAATAACCCATTGGAGGCAGCCAGGCTAGAGTTCATATTGTTCGGAATAATTAAATTATATTGGTACATGGTAGTAGGAAATTGAATAATCTACCAAGTAATATCTAAAGCGTTAACAGTGGTTAAAATGGTCTGAAAGAAGTAGGAAGGGTCTATCACAATCTGAAAGTTGCAGCTTTGGTCAGTTGGTGCTTAAAGTGGGTTCCATGGCTCAGTTTTGTTTTATTTTGTGTGTGCGTGTATGTGTATTTTATTTCCTGGTCTGCAACCCTTTGCAAGTACTCCATCCCCCTGACTCTATAAAAACACACACACACACACACACACACACACACAC